AATTTCTATTAGGGTGAATGGCTGACCTACCCTTCCTCTCCGTTTTACTTACCGTGCCAGGATAAATTTTGTGTATAGTACCTTTGTGTATTTAAGTATTGCATTTGTTTTAGAAAGCATCCTAGCTTCCAATCACTACATTTTTAATTATTTGAAAACTGGATTTCAAAACTTTCAATCCAGCACAGTAATCTCATCACTTTTCTAATCTGTCTTGCATTTTCCCCAGCATTGAATCAAATGGATAAACCACTAATCATGAAAGGACTAACTCTGCAATAAAGCACTAAAATACTTAAATTGAGATACATTGTGGAAAGCTGTCTTGACAGACCTCAACAACTTTATTATCGTTGAAGCAATCTAATTCTCAAAAAGATGAGGCTCATCAAAGCTATGCAAAGTTTAGTTATTATCAGTTGATTAATAGTTTTAAGCTAATTCTTACCTATTCAGACATCCAGCCTTCAATGACAGACCACTTTACTATTCAGAACAAACAGAACTGCCTTACTGGGATTTTTAGCTATTCCTAACTATCAGTGGCAAGTATGGGATTTTTCCTTAGGTTGCACCTGGTCTTTGTGAATGTCTACTTTGTCATTTATGATAAGCAGGGCGTTAGAAATTTCTCTCAGTTTTAATGGGGCATTTATCACCAACTCCAGCAAGTGAATTTAACTTTCTAAAACAGAAAACTATCCTAAAGGAGGGCAGCTAACAGAACTAAGACTGTGAAGCCAACAAAAGACCTAAAAAAACCCTAAATTTAAAAGGATATGTCTATTCCAGTGTCTGACAACTACTGCTATAGTTTTGGTTTAAGATTTCTGTATCCAAACAACATCTGAACATCTATCTCTTTATACTCTTCCCTTCCCAGTTTACTTCCCTTTTCTTTTTCCTACAGGTCTCTCAGAAGCATGGGAGAACAAAAAAATTGTTGGGTATTTTCTTTTTATTAGATATCAGATCAAGTTAGTATTCTCCCTTTTGTCATATACTAATGCCCTAAAGATATCATAACTTTGAAATAATAAAGTAAGGATGCAATAGTATGTTGCATTTGGGATTTTTCTGTTTTGTTGGGGGAAGAAATTATAATTTTATCTCATTGAAAAGTTTGTGGGTTTTTTACTTTTATTAAGCGAGTACTATAATTCTTGTTACACACATGCATATACATAAAAAGATGGAATTATACAATAATACAATTATTGTCAGCTGCATCTGTGTAAACTGAAAAATATTTTCAGGTATCTTAGCAGTTATTCTATGGCACTAAATATAAAACAGAGCTTTAGAGGTATATAATAAGGTTTCAGAATGATAAAAACCCAATCAATTTTCCATCAAACTGTAGACTGTCTCAGAGAAAAATATTCTACCCCCTCCCATTGATTTGTTCTATTATAAAATATTGTGCTATCACAAACTAATACAAAGTACCAACTACATGCAGAAGCAATACATGCATTTTACACTTCTTTGTATTGTTTAAAATGACATCCTGATGCTATCATTTAGCTCATCATGACATTCCATCAATCAAACCCCAGTTTTAATTATACACCATTCTGCTTTTTCTCTCAAGAGCAAACACAGAGGACATGCAACAATTTATTTCAATTAAAATACATAATTTATAGAATTAAAAATAGGTTGGGAATCACTTTTAAATCAGCTATCAGCCTGTCAATTAATGTTCTGAACCCCAGCTATTGACCCAGCACTGTACAAGCTGTTATTATGCACTGTCCTACATATCATCTGTTCCCCGTGCTGGTCTGTTCCAGAAAGACAGACAGCTGCAACAGTATATCCCTGCTCAACCTGAGGACCATCTGACTTTAATTGTAGCACACAGCTTGATGTGGGTCTGGTTATGAGAAGCCAAAGTATCACACTGTAATAATCTGGAAAAGCAGAAACCTGCCAACACAAGGCTGCAAACAGGGGCTTGCGCTGTCTGGCTGGTTGACGGGCTGCAGGAAATATGATTAATGAGCAAGGTATAATGGTATCAGGAACCCGATTAGCACCACAAAAAGGTCACAGATCAAAGTAGTATGCATTTCATGAGCTCAAATCATTGTATAAGATCTGTGGACTTCAAGAGGTAAACTAAAATGCAAAGGGAAAAAGTATCTGTGTGTGATGGCTTACAAAATGAGCACTTAAAATACTATAATCAAATCACTATTTTGTCTGAACCAGGAAGCAGTAAGGAAATATTAACCAAATGAATCAGCCCATGCCACATTATAGCAAGGTTTTTTTGATAGTATTTGTGAGGAACTGAGCTTTAAGCATTCTTACTGAACACACCTATTCTACTTAAAAATAAAGCAATGCTGATTTGGTGCTGATGGTATCTAATCCACTAAGTATTACCAAGAAAAAGCAATTTAATATTTGCATGTAATTTTCTCAGTTTTATTGCACTGCAAAACGAGCAGATTACAGAGGGCATCATCTGTACCAGCACTAACAGGGCCACCACCACCACGATAATGTTAACTATGTCACACAGAACAGTTAACACAATTCATTGGCAGAGAGGTTTAAATTTAATGCTACCAGACTAACCAAAACTTGATATCTGAATTACAGCAACAGTATCAGTGACTACAGTGTCACCAAAAGGGATGATGTCTGACATACTTTAATATACCATCACTCGGTAAATTATTTCACTTTCGTAACACTTAAGCCTTAAAAAAAAATTCTGCTCTGTCCAATTACGTGATACTTGGAAAATGTATGTTCTTGTAAAAGTTCTCTGTGTTGCAAAACTCCAGTTTATAGCACCTTTTGCACATTCTTTCAATACACCACTTGACAAGTGGTACTGCAAGGCTTACCTTCACAGCAGAAGTTATCAAGCCAAGCAGATTACTAGCAAAGTGTTTTTTATTAAAATATTTTCAGAAGTCACAATCACTAATGAATAATTACTTGGGGGGGGGAAAAGTATGTGAGAAGGAAACATTAATTATATTTTGATAATAAATATGATATTTCAGTTTTGTAAGCAATGCTGAGTCAATTTAAGGAAATGACAAAGTAATTTTCATATTCATCATTCAAATATACAGAAGTTAACACACTGATGTTTTCCAATTACTTTTTCTTGACAGGAAAGTTTTGGATACATACCAAGCACTTCCCTCTTTCTAGAGTGTTCTGAACTGGCTTTTTTTCAGGATTTAACTAAATAAAGACACGCCTATTGTAGATTGTACATAAAAAGAAAAAATACATTTGGAATATGGAATGAGATCATTACTCTGTAAGAGAAGACTTTAAAGAGATTTTACATTTTGTGACCAGAAGCACTTCATCTTGAGAATACAGCACAAGTGAGAGATATGAGAGAGCTGCAAGAAAGGCAGACACTAGTAGCAAATGCTTTGCAGAATGATGGAAGGATGAGGGAAGGGTAGGACAGAGCATTCAGAGATGTGAGGGTGAGAAAAACCTGTCACCAAGGCTAGAAATTAAGAAAATAAAATTAAGAGATAAAATTTTAGAAGAAGAGGAAGCAGGAGATTGAGAATAACTTCACAGTGGGGAAAGCCAGATCTGTAATTGGTAGAATGAGAACCATACTTTATGCAAAAGCTAGAACACCACATTCTGAGAGATCAAGGCCACAGGATGCCTTTGACAAGTCTGCTTAAGAACACAGCTTTTCATTTCTCAGGTTATCCTCACTCATCAACACATGCCAAGCTCAAAAAGGTGTCAGGCTACCTCCCTAACCTATTACCTATCAGCACAACTGTAAGATCAAAAGTTGTGTTTGAATACGGTTTGCCAGGTAGGCCTGCTAAATGTTAGTGTATTCCATACCTCTTCTAAATAAAATTTGCACATACTTCTATATGAAGCAAAGAACTAAATTCACCTAAAGTAATTTATGATTATTATGGTGCACCCTACAACTGCCTGCAGAAATCTAGGCCAGATAACATTTCTGAAGACCATGGTATCATGCCACCAGTAAAAGTGCAGTGTAAAGCATTCTGAAAATTTATGTATCACAGATTTCTTCTGATGTGACTGTTCTGCAATGTTATGAATGTGAGGTCTGATGTTATGCCAACACCAGAACTATTTTATTTCCCATTTTCTAACTTAGGAATATCAGGACGTTATCAAGTCCAAGCCTGGTATCTGAAAAGTTTTTGAGAGTTTCTATTCAGTATTTCCCAGTTAGCTGACTACATCATTTATTAAAAAAAAACTTCTCTATTTATTTATTTTAGAATGCCACTGATGCAGAATCCTTTCATTTTGAGAAGAGCCTAATGTGATAGCTTTGAGAACACGCTGAAACACCAAAAATGATATTGTAACAGCTATTTGTAATTCCACTGCCCAGACGGCACAGTGAAGACAGGGAGTGCTAACAACAAAATTTGCCAAAACAGGGAAAAGAATAGTAAAACAGATTTGAGCAATGAAGCAGGCAAAAGAGAACGCAGTTTTTATTTTCTTGTAAAAAAACGCTCTGAAAAATATCAATTTACTGGAAGAAATGGAAGAGGTGGCAGAAGATTTAAAATGCAACCTTCTTTCCTGAGATGTTCACTGATCTTTGGAGTTAAATGGATGCTAAAATTAAAACACCCTAAAATTACATGTAAGTAATCAGTGACAAATATTTCTATGATTAAACAAGCTTTTTCAAGTCTTCTATAAAGTGATGATTTTATTACCTCTTTAGAACCAGAAGAGCTGACATACAAATGCGGTAAGATCTCCTGTGTATTTAGACCACACTCAAAATTTTTTGATCAATTCTAAAGAATGAGGACTACTATACGCCTTTTTTCCTCCTAAACTTGTAAATCCAACATTTCTTCAGATTATTTCAGCCATAGTCCCACATAAATTATAAATAGCTATATATCACAGGCAAAGAGCCAAACTATTTTATAAGAATCTTGCAAGACAAATGTTACTTGACAGACAAGAGAAGATGGCCATCTTACCAGTCTGTTTATGCGAACAAATTCTTCTGGGGTTTTGGCCCATGGTGGAAGTTCAACATCAGACACAAACGTCCCATCATCCATCACTCCCAGATTGTAATTGTTGCTGTTGACAAATATCTCTGGGAGGTAATAGAATTCAGGAATCAATTCCTGCAGATAAATGAAAAACAATGCCATGCTATAAATTCTGTCAGAGGATGCACTTTGTCATGCTAAAAAATAATTATTAGAATGGCATTAGGCAAAGAGATTATACGAAATCCTCCCACAGACATCCCCCTCCCCTCTAGAAGGGGGAAATCCCCTATTTCATACCTTCTAAAATTTAAACCTTTAGATATGATAAATCCTTATCATGATTTTAACACGACAAAGAACTAAGACACAACAGGCTATAAAACATAAAAGTCAGAACATTGGTTGTGATTGCATGTTATGCACTGAGAAACTTACAAAACTGAAGTAATGAACATCACATGCTACAAATAATGTTTAGTGGAAAGCAACAGACAACCAAGGATGTTAAGTTGGGGAAAACCACTTTTTTCACATTTTAATACAATCCACATTTTAAATGCTTATGCACAAATGGCAGTGTATAATTGGGTAAAAATAGCGCCATATATATTAATTACAAAGGTGTAAAAACCCACTTATTTTCTTATTCTCTCTAACATAAAAGGTCTAAGAACTTAATGTTTAGGCTATTATCTAAGATAGTTCAATGCCCAGAAATCATTTCTTTGTAAATTCTAAGATACCTGGATTATACCACATGTTCAGACAAAAAAGCATACAGTCAAAACTGAATCAAGTCCATATTTTTGTTTCATGAAAAGGTTGTTAATTATATAATCTATAATTACAGGGAAGAAACATGCATGATTACACACACACGAGAAAAAAAAAGGAAGGAATTTCACATGGTTACAAGGTCTGCATATGTGCTAAATTCCTTGTCAGCATCATCACCGCTTTAAACAAGTGCGCTCTATAGGCCTGTGCTGAACAGGACTGGAATGCGGCATTTAACACCTCGATGGCTGGCCCATCCTGGCACTTCTGCAGGCAGAGCCTGCTACGCTAAACACAGTTGAGGAAAAAACGCAAGCACATACAGCAAAGGAATTGTAATCTCCATGTCTTATGAGAAAAACAAAGTAACACTAATGGCTAAACAAAGAATTTTTTTTCAAGCAGAAAAAGGTACATTCTGGTGCAGAATTGAACACAACATCCAGGGAAGCAAAATTAAGCTCAAAATCATAAGGATTTTCTCCTGGATAAGTGGAGTGTTCCACTGTCTTGCAAACAGACATGCAATTTCACAAGTTGTCATTTATTTTGTAAAATATGCACCACGATATATAACACATCTAAGTTAATGTGATTAGAACCTTATTTACACTTTTATAAATGTCGGCAAAGTCCTGGCACAACACTTAATAGAAAAAGCCTATTTAGACATAAAACATACATTTCTGCCCTTAATATATAATAAATAAAGGTGCTTTTTTTTTGTACAGGTGCTAAAAAAGGTGCTTTTTTTTTCTTTGTGGAACTTGATGTTGCGACTTAAATACACCCAATAAACCTGGCAATTTGATGGATTTAGAAAAATTGAGCCACAAAATTAGAGAATTTACTTTCTTTGTAAAGAAAGGATCAATACATGTAATTGCTTCAGGAAGTGTATTTCATAGCAAATGACTGGTGTAAAATTGGTCTTCCATACAGCAAATGCAAACTGCATGCCACTTAAGAAGTAGACAAAAAATCAGACTGCCCTAGCGGCTTTGTCTATAGTGGGTGTCGTATGTAGCTACGTCAGAAGCTCAGTAGATCAGATCCAAAACCCAGTCTTGACATGGGTCAATGGATCAGTGGTCTCCCAGATAGCCCCTCAGGGCCAGCTATGGCATGAGCAGCTTTCCAAATGGCTGAGTGCAATAGGGAGGTCATCAGATGGCGGACAAGGTCAATCCGAAGTAGCCAGGGCAAAGACAGGAAAGATCAAGCAGGAATTAAGCTATTATCACCTCCATCCTTGTGTGAAACACTGCCTGGCTTTGTACATCTTTTTGTTTATAGTCACCTTAATTAACTAGGCAGGGTAAAAACAGGCTTCTGTACCAAATGCTTGACAAGTACTTGATAAAAAGAAATTTGAACCTATTTAATTGTATAACTGAAAGAACAAGCATGTAGTAAGGATAAATGTTTGTAAAAAAAAAGAAAGTAGTCTAACACTGAAGTCTTTGTAGTTTTTATCACAGACAGAAACTAAAAAAGAAAAAGCAGAGACACTGGACTATTAATTCGATAGCAGCACGCACCACAAATATGAAACCATATCATGATTCTGAATGCTTCAAACATAAGCTCATTACATATGTTACTGATGGTTTTTTGGTTTTATTTTTATATATATCTGTACAGCTATTCATTAGTTTCTTCCAAGATCAGAAAACATTTGGCTTTCTAGAACACACACACATTGTTTTCATTACATTACACAGAAACAATATGCTGCCTGGAAACTTAAAAATTATCAGTAACTTCTGTTACACTATTCGAAACTTTTCATAAAGCGTGACTTCATTACTCCAGATAGGAGTTTTCAGAATGTTGTTCACTGCCACAATAACGATACATTTTTTCAGAAGGAGCTTTTTTATTATCTAATTTTCTATTGACTATGTGCTAGCATTTACACACACACACGGTGGGGGGGGTGCAAACAGGTACCACCAATTTTCAGTGGCTTTATACAGGTGAAAATGGCAACATCAGTTAAAGGCCAACATCTTTTCCTAAAACCAGAGAATAAACCTGATAACAAAATATTTAATTTTTGTCAAGTTTATTAATATTTTTAAAGTTATTTGGTAACTGCAGTCCTTTCTGTCTGTGGAGGCTTCTCCTTTTTTCTTAAAATATTCGCATAACATGCATAGATTGACACTAAGACAGCAGATGCTGACTCACATGTGTAACTCCATTAATAATGGAACTTTTTGGACACCCGAGAACATTAAAAAGGTTAATTAATGTACTTTTTGCTTCTTTTTTGGGGGCGTGAGGAAGGATGTACTTGTGGTTTCACACAAATACCCCATGAAGACACAGGACCAGCCACGTGGGGCCAGACTGAAGAATCATTTAGTATCTCGCCTGGAACAGTGACAAGGATTGGAAGACTAACACAGGAGAAATACAGTCTTTACACAGATATTCCATCAGATTCTTACAGTTAAATGGTTTTTAACTAATCTGTGCTTCTGATTTTTAAAATCATTAATCATGGGTTCCACACTATAATTTCGTGTACAAAGGTTTTTCCTTTGGCTATTCTAAAACTGCTTCCTAACAGTTCCAGCAGATCATTCCAGTACCCATATTAAGAAAAACAGTAAATACTAATTCTTTATTCACTCTTCTACATGCCCTTCTGGATGCTATAGACCTGTATCATCACATTTTTCTTCTTCAAGCTAAAGGATTCTAGTTAATTTAGATTCATTCCCTGTGGAGGTCTTCCCTTCTGACTAACCATTTTGGTTGCCTTCATACTTTTCCTAATTCTACTGAATCCGTTCTGAAATTTTACGCACTCAGCACATGTACAGAAATGGTAAAATTGTCCCATATTTCCTTTGTTTATATTATTTCACAGAAAAATGAAAACATCTGTATGATTTGCTGAAACTCTTGCTTTAGCACAATTGTGTTGAAAATTAGTTTCAGAAATTCCTTTGGAATTCATCAGTTCTATAAGCTAGAGACAGACAGACTTATGATAAACAGTACTTCACTCCTGCCATGTTTTTGATTTCACAGCATATATAAACATGAATCTAACATACAGTATTTATAGTAGTATATATTTAAAAAAAAAAGAAGTACAAAATTTGTCATATCAGGTCTCGTATTAAAATGCTTATAAAATTTTGCATATAATTAAAATACAGTTTTTCTCCATCTACCACATGGAAACAATGATTCCTAAGGAAACTTCACTAAAAATATTTTTCTAAAAACAAGTCGTATCCACGGAACGTCAGCTCAACACTGGTAATTTATATTCATGTTTGCTACCATGCATAAAAAAATCTATACAAGATATTTTGTTTCTTTAATGTAACAAAATGTTATTTTATTCTTTTGTTTAGAAAATAATGGACAGATGCATTTTGAAGCAGAGTTATATGATCTGCAAAGGTGTCTAGAAACAGTGACACAGATTCCCTAACCATATTAAAACATTTATAAGATACCAGATTTTCAAACTAAATTATCTGACAATTACATTAAGAAATATTAAGCCTATATATAACCTGTCAAACAGAATAACAAAAATGCATATTAGAAGTCTAGGTTTTTATTCATATTCCCACACATTATTTCCTCTGTTAGGGGGCTTAAATGGCATTCAAAAATATATACTAAGATACTCCATTAAATCAAATTTCATTCTTTCATCACACTTCAATGTAATCATTTTCATGACTGTGGGAAAGTATAATTTCTAAGTACCTATGAGTTTCCCTCCATCTCCTATGTGTGTGTTATTTCTCACAGAACTAAGAAATTGCCTCAACACATTGCCTGAAATTCTCCCAACTTGTAAGAAAAATACTTCAGCAAGTTTCCATTAAAATTCTAAATTGAACTAATGAAGAAATTAATTTTGTCAATGTCTAATCATCCTGTTAAAGTTCCAAGAGATTATAGCTCAAATTTTTAAGAAAAATATTAAAATCTTTAGTAATTTAAAATTAAACAAAATTATAAAAAATCCAGATGTTTAGTAGATTAATGAAATATATTATAATCATAATTAGTAGTTGATTCATTATTGATCAGTAAGTACATTTTATTAAGTCAATAATATATTGCAAAAAAATGCATCTTTAAGGCATTTAAATCCTGTTAATTAACACATGGATTATATATACACAAAATTATTTTACTTTTTACTGAGGATATATGTAAAATTATGAAATGGTATTTATTGACTATATTTACACACTATGTAATATGTAGTTCATGTTAATTTGACAGCGAAAGAAAAAAAAGTTATATATACAACTACATTCCTTTCCTCCATTTTTTTAAATTAACTGGGGGTGAAAAGGACTATATTGAAT